TGTAGTGTGGGTCGGGTAAAGCGGAAAAGAGGGCGGTGGGATGGCATCCGTGGGCAGGCGCAGAAGATGGACCTGGCTGGGGTGTGTGCTGAAAATCATCGGTCCAGGGGGAGGGAAAAGGGGCTGATGGAGAGAGGGAGTTAAAGCGTTCCTGGCGCTCAAACCGCAGATGTCTGGTTTGTGAGTTCCTGCTGGGAGTGGGTAAATAATATGGGGTGTAACATATAAAAGCCTTTTTAAAGCAGCCATGAATCCCGCATTGTGCAGTCATTTTACTTGAGAAAGGTTTTTGGTCTCTTTCCCAGCTTTTGAAATTGTATAAAAATTGTCTTTAACGATAAAACCTATAACAAGCAGAGAAATAAAGTTTGGTATTGGCCACAGAGATTTTTACGTACTGAGTTTCAAATCCTGCCTTGATTCGTGACTTGCCCTGCACAAGCTTTTTTTTCTGTCCTGTCACAGGGTCTCTTTTGCCCTGTCCCTGCCCAGAGACAGGCGCCTGTTGGTAACGCTGGGGCCGTGTGAGCTTTGAGGCCCCCGCTGTGGGTCTGAATAGCTGCCCTCATTCTGTGTCACGGATTTCACTCTCAAGCAGGGGATGGTAGGTGACGTCCAGCCTCTCCTGTCACCACCCATTGTCTACCCCTTTCTCTGAGTGACACAACCCAGCGGCCTTGGCTTTGTGGAGAGATCCAGAAGCAGAGGATTTTATAAAAGAAGAGAGTAGGGGACATAAATCAGAGGAGGTGCTTCGGGAACTGAGCACAAAGTCCTGGAGGTGGTTGTGTCCGCACTGTCCCGCTGTCCCCAGGTGCTGTACGAGGATTGCCGGATGGTGTCTGTCACCGCCCCGTATGTGGCGGGGTTCTTGGCCTTCCGAGAGGTCCCTTTCCTGGTGGAAGCTGTTCAGAGACTCCAGCAGGAGGAGCCCGGTCTCAAACCTCAGGTGTGGCATATTTCTTTGTCCCGAGTTGAGATGTTCTGAGGGTGCAGAGTACTGCTGGAAAGTGTTCCTCCCTCTCCTGAGACCTCGCTGGCTGGCTGTTTCCCATGGGTGGGGCGGAAGGTGCGGTGTCGAGGTGGTATTGAAGCATCTCTTGCCCGTTGCTTAGGGACAGGGAAGCTGTGCCACGAGCAGCCAGGACCCCTGGGCAGCAGGGGAGAGCGCTGCCAGGCACTAAGAGCTCCTGCTGCTGATCGATTAGAGTCAGAGTAGACAGTGCGGCAGGAAGACCCTCATAGAGCCAAGTGAAAGCACCGAGAGAGACTTCTCCTTCCTTGCAGGGCCGGCGTCACTGTTTGCTTGTGGGGGTGGCTCTCAGTGTGCAGGAGATAACATTTCTTTTTTGGCTTTTTCAGGTACTTCTTGTAGACGGGAATGGCCTGCTCCACCCCAGAGGTAGGACTTCACTGCAGAGCCCTGCTCTGCAGGGTCCCTGTGCTGCCACTGGAGACTCCTGTTCCCTGGCGTCCTGCAGTTACAGTGACTCCTTGTTGGCAGGATTTGGTGTGGCCTGTCACCTTGGAGTCCTGACGGATCTGCCGTGCGTTGGCGTGGCCAAGAACCTCCTGCAGGTGGATGGCTTGGTCAGGGATGACCGGCACAAAAAGCAGGTTAGGCTGGGCTGGGAATTTATTTCCACTCTTTAATAGCCCAGCAGAACTGGGACAGTCGCATACAGGTACTTTCTAATCAACTGACCTTGTGTGTGTTTGTCCCTAGATTCGCTCCCTGCAGAGGGAAGGAGATTCGTTCCCACTGACAGGCGCTTCAGGGAGAGTCCTGGGCATGGTGAGCTGCGGGGAGTTTCCTGTTCGCTTGGCCATCAAATCTTCCAGCTTTGTGTAGCTGGGAGTGCTGGAGGATGTTGTGTCTCTAGTGGGACTGTCTGGCATTGGTTCAGGAAGACACGGTGTGAGCAGGTGACGTTTGTAGAAAGAGTTGACAGTTTGGGTGTTGGATCTGTTCCTGTCCGTGGCTGTGCCGTGCTCCAGCCCCTGGGTTCGTGAACCACAGCCACGGAGAGGTGCTGATTCTGTTGCAGCTTCCCAGGATGTGATATCTGCATCTGACGGGAGAGTGCTGCCCAGGAAACAGGCAGACATAAGAAACTTCCTGTGTCTGGTGTTATTTCAACGTAGTCTGCGTTAGGAAGTCTCACTGCTTGCCAGAGCAGCCTTAGGCGTCTGGGGAAGGGCCGCAGGGGTCCAAAGGGGTACGCAGTGCCTGTGAGGAGGTACTGGGAAGTACTGGATCAAGAAAGCTGGGAGTTACCAAATACAGAGCCCCCATCCCACCTTTTGAAGGCAGCTGGCTAGCTTATAGTTCATCTGCCACTCTGTATTTGTTAAAATAAGCCTCTTAAGTATTTGATCTTTCTTGTTTCTGGATGCACAGGTCCTGCGTAGCTACAACAACAGCTCTAAGCCGCTTTATATCTCTGTGGGTCACAGGGTGTGCCTGGAGACAGCTGTGCGGCTGGTCAAGTCCTGCTGCAGGTACCGCATCCCGGAGCCTGTCCGTCAGGTATGGCAGCGGGGGAGCTGAGGAAGGGGAGGCAGACCTGGAGCAGGGACCCAGGCGGGGGAGGGGGCTGGGGGTGCAAAGCCTGTGGCGATGTTTCAGAGCCTCAGTTTGCCACCGGTCTGCCCCTGACAGTTCTGCAGCGGACACCCTCTGGCTGGCCTGTTCTCCCCAGCCTGCGGTGGTGCTTGCGTGGCAGTTAACTGCTCCTTCTGCCTTCCGTGCTTGTTCTGACGCAGTGCCCAGCAGCACACAGAATCACACAGAATCACAGAATG